GATCATCTCTTGTTGATCCAGTGTTACTACAGGAGGAAACCTTAACTAAACTAACTTTATTTATACTGGATAGCTCTATCAGTTCTAAACTGTTCTCCTTAGAGGTCCAGTAAGGATCATCTCTTATTGAACCAGTGTTAAGTACAGGAGGAAACCTAAACTAAACTTTAAGAGTCTTTATTTATACTGGATAGCTGTATCAGTATTGTTTTTCCTGTTCCAGTATGCCTGGCCGTGTTCTAAAACCGGACGATTGGCCTGATAGGAGACCATACCGACCTCAAATTGGCTTCAGTCCAAACACACCACGAGCTTCCCTGGATATGGCAGGAAGAAGAATGTTGGGGTAAGACAATCCTTTACGATCTCAATTTTGCGAACCAGTTCGGTATCTATAAATACAGGGTCTGGCCAAAATTGATGAGCCAGACTAGCTTGTCTCGATATAAAGACCTCCTAAAACTACTATCTTCTTTTATGATATTCATTGTAGCTTCCACATGAAAAGTGGCGGAGCGAGCACTTCTCGTTGGGATTCTGGAAACGATCGGCGTAACTCCTACCCACCGCCTGCTCACGTGACTGCATATGGCCAATCACGTTTCTCGTCTCCGGGCCCTTGGCCGAGGCAGCGTCCATCGTACTACAGTAATACACCAGGGGGATACAACCCTTACCAGCGAGATGGACAACATTCTGGTGGTGGTCGACAGCATGGTGGTCATTCTCAACACGGTGGTTATTCACAGCATGGTGGATCTTCCCATGGTAACAGGGATAGCCCATATGGTAACAGGGATAGCCCATATGGTAACAGGGATAGCCCATATGGTGGTTATGGTAGGGATGGATCGTACGATGGCAGGGACCAGAATGACCCAAGGAGAAGATCAACAGGGGTAAGATCATTATTTTGCTTGATGGATAACTTATTTACTTTTTATTGTATTGAATAGCTCTATAAGTTCTAAACTATTTGTAAGAAATGTTTGACGGAGCTCACTCATTGTCAAACACTGAAACAGTTCCTCAAACATTTCTTACAAGTCCTTCAAAACTTAGAATTTACCTATGCAAAATTCCTACTGTGATCACAGAAACTTTGGTTGTGTAAACTAGCTGATACATTAAATACAATGCCACTTATAATTTCTTTTTCAAAATATTCCAGAGCTTCAATACGCCAAATAACGACAGAAGACGTAGTGACGGCAGACAGGACTATCAATCCAGACGATTTTAACCGTATTAATCTCTCAGGCAACAGGCTGAAGTTGGGTAAGATGCTCATATAGGTAGGAATGAGGATTTTATTCTTTAAACATTTATTTTATTCTTTTCTACGAAGATGCGAGGTTTTACTGTTCATATTAATTGACTCTTATGACTCTTCATGTGAAAGAATATTAATTTGGTGGCCATTTATGATGAAGTGTATATTCACTACCTAATTATATTTCAATGTTTAGCCGTTTTTTGACCTGGATAATATAATTCCGACGACATTTTGCAATGGACCCCTTTCACCAACTAGGATATTTAAAAGGTACAAAACGTTCTTGTAATCTTGCAGTTATTGTTAAAATCTATCGTGAGCAAAATTAAGAGTTATAACTTGGAATGTAGTTTTGAATAACAGATGTAGCGAAAAAAACGATGGTCAGACATTGTTTGTATTATATAATACCATAATTGTTACTTTTTTCATTAATTTAAAATACTAGATAATGTATAATTTTTATTCATAATCTATATTACACATACGTTTCTTTATTTTGATCTAAACTAGCCTTAAGCGACAGTCCGTTCATAACTCGTCCTAACAGCAGCAGCATTTCATCCTGACTTGCAAGCTCTATCGGTGTACAGTGATCCGCGGTCCGCGCACCGATATCCGCGCCCGCCTGAAGCAACAGCAACGCGCAGGGTATGTGGTCGTACAACACGGCATAATGTAATGGCGTCCATCTTAGCTCGTCCGTTTCGTCAACATGCCCACCATGTTTTAAAATAAACTGTACAATTCTAAAACTCCCGGCTATGCTGGCGAGATGCAGAGGTGTTAATAAGCCGTTTGACAGTTTTTTGTTGAAATTGACCTCCCACTGTTGACAGACTTCTGCAAATTCAGACAAATCATGATTTAAGATGGCCGACCTTAACAACTCTTCTTGTTCAAATGTTACTGTCTTTTTAACACTATGACCCTCTCCGTGTTTCAAAATACCCTTTCTGCATTCACAGCAAGTTGGAGATTCGTTATTTTCTAGCATAGAGTTCTTGAGAGGCATTTCAATAACAGAACATTTGGTTAAAACATGAACGCACTCGTCAAATGAAACATTCCGTCCCTTCTTTTTCCATTCATAATTCATCCTATTTTCTCTGTTACTTTCCTTAATTTCATTATTTGAAGTGGAGTTTTTCGTTGGATTGTCGACAACCATCACTGGCGACGAAGCCGACCTAGTAAACTTAAATCTCTCAATTTGTCTTGAGTTCTTTTTGAGTGCCTTTAACTCGTTACTCTTTTTCAAACAAGAACTTTTGACCTTTGATACTTCACGTTCGATGATGGCTTCATCTGAATCTTGCACGACAGTTTCGGTATTTTTTATGTCGAATACCTTTTTGCAAGAGTTGACATTATCTATTAAAGATGCCACAACTAAAGATTCGCATTCCATTGTAGTTTTTCCCTGCAATTTCGCCTAGAAAGTGCCACCCTCTATCCTTTTACTTACATAAATCGGTGTGAATTATACCACTTTCCGGATACAACTTGGAATTAAATTTTGCATTGAATAGCCGTTGTATGGCCAATATATTTCGCACAATAACGAATTGATTTGAGACTGTTTACTCAGTCGGAAAAGTAGGATTAACTTCTATTTGCACTCATTGGGAAAATGAAAAATAATAAACAGTTAAATGGCTATGACAAACACTTAAACGGTTAGGTGTAGCAATACGCTCTGTTTAACTGTTTAACTTTTATTATTCAAAATAGGAAACCAAGAATTAAACGTTTTCTCTCTGTCTGTGGTGTAAGATTTTTCTCAATTGAACAAGCCGAACAATTAGTTTTTTACGGACTTCATCGAATTAACAACGAAAGAATGTTGCCCGTTGCTTTAAAATGCTCAAAATATTTTAAACCGTTCAATTACATCTAATAACGTCACAAGAGTGTTGATATTGGTGAATTGGCCTAAGGGACCGGTCATTATTTATGGCTAGGGGGTGGCACCAATTAAAAATAATACCCACCCCTGCCCCTGGCCAAAAACGGTACAAAAGGATAACATTCAGTTGTCACACATGTTCCTTCTTCACACTTCTTCTTCGTGTTCTTTCATGCTGACAATGTCTCCCTAGTTTGCCAGACCTACAAAGAACCAAAATTGAAAAAAAATCTGGGAAATTTGGGAAAATACATCCATTTACAGTAATCATACTCCAGTTACCTCAATAAATTCACTGATCTAATTTCGTCAACAGCCTTCCCTCACAATCTTGTTGCCTGGTTACTAAGCTTCACAAAAAACAAAATTTAAAAAAAAATTTCCAAACTTTATTTTACAATATTTCTAACAAAAAATGTTTTGAAGCATGAACAAGGACGGTACTATAGACTTTGGTAAACTAGAAAAGCAACTGCTTGTAGCTGTCGACGAGGACGCGAGATATCGGCGAGAAAATGATGCTAAGTTCCGAGCTGTGGCCCAAAATGTTGCTTCGTATGAAGAATTCAAAGATATTGTCGCTGCTTCACATTTGAAACCATTGGACAAGAAAGATACTGAAGGTATAATTGTAGGTTGTATGGCTGTTGAATGTGTGGAAATTATGTAGTTTTAATTGTGTGTTGGTATTGTGGAGTAAACACCCCCCTCCCTAGAAAATTGACACCCCTCCCCCCTAGAACATTGGAACCACACTTGTCTTACCAGCTGGGAGATCCGGGTTCAATCCTTTGTCGGACCTCTACTCAAATGGGTTTAATAATTCCTTGCAATTTTTCAGGTTTACACAACAGAAAACAACCATGGAATCCATATGCAGGAAAATCCAGTGAGAAAACAGCATCTCCCAAAGACAACATTCTCTCGGGAGATTTAAACGTTCCTAGAAACAGTCACGAGTTCCAAAAATATTGGAGAAAATGCCAAAAAGACAAAGTTAAAAAGTATCAATATCTTATCACTATAGGAGGTCCAACATTAGCTGAAATTTTCCAAGCAGAAATTTCAATGGCTTTGCTTGGTGAAATTGTTGACATCTTCAATGAGAATTGGAAAGCAGATGATTTTTCTAAGATTTATGACATTCTACATGGCCTGGCTACCGTAAAACGATTTAGTTTGTCTTTGCAGTTTCTGAGTGGTCGGGAAAAGAAGGTGTTGATTGAACTATTTCAAAAGTTGAATGAGGTTATTGTTGAACGACAGAGAGGGGATTGTGTACATGTGGAATGTCTTGGGACACTTGAAAAAAGTTATGGAGTAACAGTTGAAATGAGAGACCAAGTATAAATATGTATTGTGTAAAGAGAAATATTTATTTTAATAATAAAATATAATATATAACATTGATCCATAGTAATGTCTTGTTTAATTTAACCATGGCTTGCAGTTCAGACAATCTGACAAACAGACAACATGACAACATGACAAACAGACAACTGAATAAATGGACGACAAGAGAAACAGACGACATGACAAACAGACAATTTGACAAACAGACGACATGACAGACAGATAATCTGACAACCGGACAAACAGACAACATGACAAACATATAATCTGCCATACAAACAACAGGACAAACAGACAACCGGACAAACAAACAACCAGACAAACAGACAACCGGAAATGGAAACGAGTATATCAAAATGGCGACAAAAATCTAGTAAATTTTGAAGAGTGTTTGGGAGAGAATTTTGAAGGTTTTATTCGTTTTAGTGTAGGGATCTGAAAACCGAAATATTTAAAAGATGGGTGGAGGTGATTTGGTAAGTAAATGATGTAGATATTCATCCCTAAAATGACTTAAATCCGAGTTATAAAAAAACTGTAAGTGTAGTCTGTAGATTGACATGATATTTGTACTGTTTAGATATATTAAAAACTGACAAGACCTTGTCTTTATAGACTGTAGAGTATTATAGACTGTGAATAGGATTCACTTGGGGGAACTATTCACATGAGTTTAGCCTGTCCAGTTCCCTGGGCTGCCTGGTTTTTCGTGAGATCCTGCATTTGTTTTAACATTCATTTCCCAATTCCATATTTTTGGGTATAACCGTTCAGTGATCCAGGATCTTGCTCTAGGAATTACAATGCTTTCACCTAAACATTTGAATGGAATTTGAAATATTACCCAACGAAAAAAATCTACACTCAAAAGAGTCTGTTCATTCCAGATCTGTCCAGTTTTAACATTTGTGTAATTGTAGAATTTAAAAAAGAGCTGGCATCCCCAGACATTGCACAACATTGAAAAAGTATGGAAAGCAGAACAAAAGGCAGAAGCGGAAACCAAGAAAATCGAACAACTGAGACGAGAACTGGACGAGGAACGGCAGAGAGAGGAAATGCAAAGATATGCTGTTGATCAAGGGATAGCAAAGTAAGATAGTGTGGACTTGTATTAGGTTTCTTCCATGTTGATAAGGTCCTGCTTATGTGGATATGGGTAGTAGCCAAGTGAATATGTAACAATAATTAACGATTGACCAATAATCGGTATCTGCCGATTTTTGCCTTCCCAGTAGACAATCAGAATCTGATTGTGTAAAACCGATTGTTCAGGGCTTTCAAAATTATTCCCAGTAGGTGTCTGTTTTGATAAAGTAGGCGGCTGTTGGGAGGGAGTGGCCTAGGGAGTCTTAAAGTCATCTTTATTAACTATTGTATGTTGATTATAGATATATCAATATCATTGATTAGATATAGCAACAACAACTGGGCTCTGTAACCAAATTATAATGTATCACTACTTTCATTCTTCAACAAAATAACTTCAATATTTAAGATGGCAAATAACTAAATCGGTTTTACGAAATAGTACGTCGTTTTCGAAAATAACCAGGCTATAAAGTAGACCAGGTTGATGAAAAATATCATTGTTTGAAAGCTTAGAGTGGAGGAAGGAGAGCAGAATTGATGATTCAAATACTAAACAAAGTAACTGGCGGTAAACCATGTGGCACCCGCTGGAGCTCCGGCGGCCGCCGGGTTATTTTGAAAGCCCTGTTGTTGAGAAAATATCCGCTTTGAAAATTAATACATTGCGTGTTGATATATGTTAAATTAATTCTGAAGTGTGCCATTTATGAACAGTTTTAACAAACTTGGTTGCAGTAACATGTTGCATTGGAAATTATCATTAAAAAGTCGAAATGAATGACGTCGCCTTTAACTTGGTCGACTCATACTCGACTGACATTAGGACATCATTATATAATCAGGATCAGGTAGATAATTGAAAATTCACTACTACAATCGATCACTACTACAGTAATAAATTATCCTGGTCGTGATACCAATTTTCCCCAGTTGAATCTGCTCAAGGTAGATACAACCATGTAACTCTACCCCCACCTGAGTCGAAGACAAACCATGTTGTTTATATTTGTGTAGGAAGAAATCAGATCGTCTGGAATGGATGTATTCCGCTCCAGGTCATTCTGGTGTAAACCACGAGGAATATTTGTTGGGAAAATCCATCGACAAAGCTGTTGATCCTCTGGCAGCAAATGATGAAAAGGTACCAACATTTATCATTTGCTCAACCGTTTAGCCATATTATTTTATTTAATATTTAACAAATATAAAACATTTTCCGTGTTGCTATACAGTTGTATCAACACGAGTTGGAATTGGGAAAACGAGAAATTGTGTGAAAATAATATAGCACAAAGAAATATAAAGAAAAAAAATTTCCATGTTGACATAGAGTTATATCAACACGGCTCTTAGCCAATTAACGTTCAGAATGCTATATTATAATTATTTATTAAACTTTGCCGACACAAATGCACATACAAACATGACATTACAACAGCAGAACATGTCCATCACTGAATCTAATAACAAATGGCAGGTACACCACAGCAGTATAAACCAATTACTGTGAGCCCTGGTTAATAAATATAACAAACTATAAAATTGAAATTCTATGAATAGTAAAGGCCATCATGCTACATGACGCGAGTCTATGACAGAAACCGCACTGTAAGTCGCCGCGAAAATTGTCTTGCGCAACATTGCCTTCAGCTACAGCAAGCTATTTCATTATTCATATTCCGAGGACAGTTTTATATCTTAAACATATTGTCTTCCACCTTCTTGGATCATCTGTATCATAACGACAATATAGGGCATACTCTGTCTAAATGCTATACAATTCTACTTGTCAAGGGGAGAGCAATGCCACTCATTGGGTTAATAGGTTAAACAGTTTCATTACGTATTGTAATACTCAGTCTGAAGTATATGAGTAATCAACTTTTGGTGATCACTAGAATGCTGAGGCTCCAGGCGCGAGTTTCATGGATAACGACAGTCCTAATGCAAGTAACGACCTAGCGGCTAAGATACGAGATGATCCTTTGTTTATGATCAAAAAGAAAGAAAATGAGAAGAAGAAAGAATTACTTAAGAATCCTGTGCGAATGAAACAACTGCAACAAATGTTGAAAGCTGATTTGGGGAAGAAAGGAAAGAAGGATAAAAAGAGAAAAAAGGAAAAGAGACAGAAGAATTCCTCCGACGAAGATTCCAGAAAGACTAAACATCGGTATGGTATTGTAACGTTGTTCTTCACTGTAGTTTAATCATTATTAAAGTGTGGTGAATGCAGTAGCTGACAATCGGTTAGTTATGTTTGGATTTGCCAAATGTCAATTATGTTGTTCAACTTTCATGACATGTCTGCGATTGTACTTAAGTTTTGTCCAGTACCACACCCAAACAGTGCTGTGCGCCGGAGTTGCCGGAGCCGGAGTTCTGCCGGAGCTCCGGCGGTTTTTCCGACGCCGGAGCCGGAGCAGAATTTTGTATGCCGGAGCCCGGAGCCGGAGTTACGTTTTCCCAGCTCCGGCAAAATGACAAGAAAACAATATGAAATGAGACAAATGTCAAACGATTGTTAGTTACTGCAAACTGCCAATTGCTGTTAAATGAATTCATCATAGACTCAAACTGCCACAGCCCACAGGAACAGCGTCGAAAAGCTGTAATACGATCGCAACTTACAAACGTCACGCTTTCATGAAGCCATCAGACTTAGCACTACATACGGTAATCTGTGTATTCATGCCTTGTAGATAACGAAAAAGTACAAAACAAATAAATATCAACCTTTTGAAAGGGTACTTTGTTTGCGTGCGAACAATTGCGCTGTGGAGTCTGAGAGTGTTAGCGTCATGCCTCGCGTCATGCCTCGTGTCAAAGATTTTTCGAGGCAGGTTTCCATATAGATATTTTCTGCGTGGTTAAGTGTTTTCACTGTTTTGTTTCCTGAGTTATGTTATCTGATAATTAGGAAGCGCGAAAAGGGTTATTCATAATAATATTAATAAATGTTCTCTGATCGTAAAACATTTATTTAATATTTTATGATGTGGCCGGAGCCGGAGCTCAGAGCTGTAATTCGGCCGGAGCCGGAGCCGGAGCCGGAGATGAAAAACCGGAGTTTGCACAGCACTACACCTAAACAAACTTAAAGTCTGCTTAGTGCTTTACAATATCTGTAAAATAATGCCAAAATGAAGAGATTTGTGATGGTACGCCAAAGAGAAAATGATGTCTGAAGTTCCGTAAGTTTTACTTATATTGCTTATTTCATGCCGTTGACCTAGGTCAAAATCATCTTCAAATAAAAGAAAGCATGGATCCTCAAATGAAGACAGTGATACACATGCCACATCGAGTCACCGTGACAAGAAAAAACAACACAGAAATTTTGAACGAAATGGAGACATGAGAAATAGCTCAGACTACAATCACGATAGGCAGAAAGAAAATAGAAAACGAAGGACATATTCCATTTCTCCTGAAAGGAACACACGCACTGAAGCTAGATCAAGAAATTACGAAGACACTTCTGTACGAAACGTCGATAGACAGCGAAGGTCACATTCTAGATCAGAATCGCCCAGGAGAAAATCTCCAAGAAGAAAGTCTCGATCGCCTAGCCCAAAGAAAAGGCATCGAGAGTACCCCACATTACAGAATCATTCAAAGGAAAGGCGGTATCGTACGGCAGACATTGAAGAAAGACATCATGATAAACGACAAAGGTCAAGAACGCCGTCACCATCGCCAAGGAAACATAGCTCGCGGTCGTATGCTACGAAGAGCTCGCAAGCAAGCGAGTCTCATGCATCGAGGTTTGTTCTCGTCTCATATATTGTGCAGTGTTAGTGTACTACTGTGCAAATAAGTTGTACCATGTGTGGAGGCGAGGGAGCCGGCTCGGGAGGTTTCTCCTGTATAATCAATGGAGAATTGCTAGAGTAATTCATTAAAAACAATTGTATAAATTAGAGGGGGAAATATTCAAAATATCTTAGGAAAATATTGTTATTATCTTACTAGGAAAATGACGGATGAGGAACGAGAAAGACGACTGGCGGAAATGATGAATAATGCAAAGTACGTATTATTGTACTGTCTGTTGATGCTTTGAGTTAATTAACTAATTGCTGTGTTTTCTCGTAGGTGGAGAGATGAACAACGAGGCAAAAACGTGAAACGATACAAGGTATAGAAATTTCACAGCTATTTATGGCATCATTCGAGTTTGGTTGGATTTATTATCGATATAAAATCTAAATTTCTGGGATTTTTAGGAAGAAGACGAAGCCGAGGCGAAACAAATTGCACAAAACACAGAAAAGGGAGCAAATTTTGTTCAGTAAGTTCTCTTATCATTGCTTGAAATGGAGAGGTTTAAATTTGACTACCAGCCTGCCACTACCTCTCATTGGCTACGCATTTGATTGGTTCCAGATAGCTTTCCGTAGCGACGTGAAAAAACACCTATCCAAACCTTTCAGGAACGCTATTTTCAGAGGAATTATTGCAACAGAGAGATGTTGTTTCGCTCAGCTTCTGAAAGTTGTACATTCCGTATCGGATAGGTTCGTGACAAACATGGTCACTCAGATCTCTTGTGTAATTCTCGATTTCTTTCCAACAGGCCGCTCAAAGTTCAAACGTTCACTTCCTCGTCTGCTTCTGTTGAAAACCGAATAAAAAGAAACATTAACTCGCTCCAGAGGACTCCCGCAGCTATGGAGAAATTTTTGAAAAAATAGTCTGTATACTTTTTAATCGTTTTTTTTTTAGTCATTGTGTATAATGTACATATATTGGTGTCTGTCGTTGGCAACAGGTTGTGATGGTAAATGCAATCTCAGAACAAATTACATTCACAATCCAACCAGCCTTTCTCACGGCCAATTTTTCCGCCATTTTGGGGTACTGCTTCACCCACGTTTGAGAGACTCCGCACCACAAAATACAGCTTTTCAGTATTGTAGCTGTTTGTATAATGGTAAATTTACAATTACAACTTTTAAAAGTCGCTTTTCACGTTGTTTGAATTGTCTAGAATCTTTGACGAGGACAGACAATACCCCAAAAATGGCGGATCTTTGTCATCGTGAGAAACGCTAATTCAATAGACACGCGTGTAGATGCCAACGACGGCAGGCGCGAGGTTGACACGCGTGAACACGCGTGAGAACGAGAAATTCGCGGGAATTCAATTATCTTAAATATAAACATTCAAATTTAAAAAATTTCCATTTTTTTTTCATGAATAATTGATGAAAATATTGCTATTTCGTCGTCAGATGTTCGCTTTCACGACACCTACGGCCCACGCTTTAAATTCTTTATCGTTAGGACTACTTTATAATATGGATTTCGAAACGAATGGCTAAGTGAATTCGCTTCTAAATGGGGTCAAAAATCGAAAATTTAAGGGCTGTTCATTTTGTGAAATGGTTGTTTTGTGACCTGTAACGCTGATTCAAAATGGCCTCTGAAGAATATAAATTAGTAAATGATCGTTCAGGCTCCTTAAGCAGTAGCAGTGGAGATGAAAGCGAACGACCCATTCGTAGAAAAGGTAAGTTTATTTTTAAAACCTTATAATAATACACTGTATGAAACGTCAATTTTACTTAATTTGTCACTCCGTGTTATAGCATTGTTGTAGAATAATAATACCTGTGTATTTTGGTTTTAAATTGCTTAAGCGGAACTTTTACGAAGCTTTGATAACGTGGTATTTCATGCTTTTTATATTGTCTTAATAAAGTTAATATTATTGATGCTTAATAACTAACTTAATAGTAATATTACTATGATCTATTTTGATATTATACAGTAGTTAATACTGCTACAAATGTATATATTCAAGTATTGGCACTATAGAAGTACATAATTATGTACTGTATGTAGACGATAGCGGATTTTATTTATTAATATAATATAGATAAAGCTATGTTTATATCCTGTGATGTATTGGGCCAAATTACAAACGATAATGATATTTGAAGCTATAAGAAGCCACCTGAAAGTATCATTAATTAAATGACAATATTTATCATTAATACTTGACAAAACTTGAAATCAGCCCAGCAAATCACAAAAATAATTGAAGCGAAAGAGTCAAAGCTGTACCTTAGACTTTTGTGTCTTTTCAGATAAGGATGTTACATTGTAGCATACATTGTAGGTACCTCCTATCACGAACAAGTGAGAAACTCAATATGTCTGATAAGAATGAGCAATGAAATGTCATTTTCTGTACAGCCTTAGCTAAATTTGCTAAAATGGATTTATTTTTGCCATATATTGTCTTGAACACTGAAAATAGTACAGAACCTTGTATTTATTAAATAGCATTACATCATTTGATGTTATAGAAAATTCTTTAGTGTTTGGTGTTGTAGCTATGGTATTTTTAAGGTCTTTGTTTAATTATTGATATATTGTAAGGTTTTTTGAGTGTGCTCTCTGAATTGATTAAACGTCGGAAAATCAACTCAACATATTGGAGGCGTCAAATTATTTCAACTTACCTTGTTACGAAATCTAATATCGCCCTTGATCTAGATCCACATAATAGCTAGACTAGTATCCCTCAAGAGGAAATTTAACTTGCATATGAATGAAATAAGTTCAGTTAATATTAATGACATTTATATTAGGGGCCACATTGATATTCATGTTGCCACACATAACATCGAATCGACATGGCCCCAGTTCCTTAACAAACTTGTACAAATAATGAATACATTACCATAAGCATATTACTGTATAGCTAGTACATAAAAATGCCATTAATTTTCACAATAAATCTGATTACAATTCTGTTCTCACTGTTTGTCCATAATTAAGCTGCAGAGCTTCAACATTGATGAGTAAAATCGTCTGGCGTTAGACAAGTAAAAAAATAAGTTGGGCGCATTGCAGCTGAAAGGGTTACTAGAGACATTGTCACATTTTTTGGTTAACCCATTAATTAAGCTGCAGAGCTTCACCATTGACAAGTAAAATTGTCTGGCATTAGCAGATATTCCAACCACTGGAGGTAAAATTTAGGGACACTGTTCAGTGAATTGAAATCTAGTTCTTCTGGGGAAAAAATAATAAAAATTAAGTCTAAAGAATTTCATGCAAAAATCATTAAGTCTTCTGAACTGGCATTTCCTGCTATAAAGTGATCCTATAAATTGCCATAAAGCAACTTCAAAAGTGGTCAAGACAGACTATTATGTTGCTAAAAACAGTATATTTATAATTTTTTATGATATTTCCTGAATATTCTGAAAAATCGGGAGAATTTGATAAAAAATGGGGAGACCGGAGATTGCATGAATCGGGAGAGTTGGAATGTCTGCGTTAGACAAGTAAAAAAAATAAGTTGGGGGCACTGGGGTGCATTGCACTTCAATGGGTTTAAACTAATATTCAAATTCGTACTAGGTGGATCTAGCAAGAAACTTCAACCAGAAGAAGAAGGGAATGAGAAGGTCAGTGTTCCCTCTTACCATTGAATAGATTAATTAATATTATTATTCCATAGTCCTAGTACACTTACAGTACATACATTGTATTTTTTATAGAACCCTGGTTGTATACTTGACAATAATTATCCTCCCAGCGTATGGTTCATTTTAGGAAATGAAATTTGCGAACGATTTTCGTATTATGGCATGCATAGTAAGTATCCATGATATTGAAATATTGTGTTTGTACTATGTTCAGAGACCCACTAGTTTGTACATTAGGGAGTGGTCTTATTTATGGGGAGGGGGGGTTGGGAAATGGGGCAAATGAAGTTTTACCCTTATAAATAGGGGAGGTCAAAAAAGTTTTAACACAGAGAAAGGGGGGGGGTCATAAAAGTTTTTGAACTTAAATACCATGTCTAGAGTTCTGATTTCTATAATCACAAATAGCAAAAAAGAAGACTCTGAAAATGCTATTTCCAACGATCTAGAGACTCAAAATTTCCCTGCTCGGTGCCAACCATGGTAGCGCCTCGCGATCGTGGGAGTCTGGCCCACTAAGTTTAACAAGCTTTCTACCCCCTGAGTGAGAAAAGTCAGATAAGTGTCAGAAAAAGTTTCTACTTTTATGAGGGGGGAGGCACAAAAAGTTTGCTTTTAGTCTGGGGGGGGGTCCAATCCTCATTTTCCCAACCCCCCTCCCCATAAATAGTGACCACTCCCTTAATTCACATGCCTTACCCAAAGCATAGCCCAAAGTTACAATTTGTATGTACCATCTTGTGTGAACTAGTGGCAAATTAACCCTTTAAGTGACAATGGTCCCTTAAAACAAGCCTCTTTGTGAACCATATCTGGGTTTCCAGAACATTGTGGCACAATTGTGAAAAATTTTGCACATCACCTCACCAACCTCTTGTTAAATGTCCTAGCCATGTCACGCATTTAACTCACAATAATGTTTGTATAATTTTTAGCAATCCTTGTGCTGTATCTTACCAGCATGCTTAAATTGTCAGATGAACGAGCGACTTCCATCTACCATGCCTTCAACATGTTTTGTTACTTTAGTCCTTTATTTGGCGCTATTATTGCCGACAGCTGCCTTGGAAAGTATAAGTAAGTAGCACATTCATAAATAATTTTCAATTTGTGCATTGTACATCTTAAAGAGTATTTGCGGTCGCCAAACGTTTTCTCCAACCCTCGACCTTCCAAAGAAGTGGACGTCATTACA